GACTGACTGACTGACTGACTGACTGACATCCCTCCCTGGGGACTAATTGAAGCATGGCTGATATTTGGCCCACTTTATGGGGCAATGTCTGCTGGCTTTGCCAAGGGGTGGTCGCTCTCCTGCGTGTGTGGTGTTACAGGGCTGCAGGGCCTCAAAGTACTCAGGTTCACGGGGGGGGGACAGGTATTGGCTGGGTGGGGAGAAGGGGAGGAAAAATTAAAGCTGAGCGTTGCCTCTTTGCTCTCCCTTCTTCCCCTTTGTAGCTCTTTGGTTCAAAGCTCCTTTTGATGCACTTGTACGAGTAAAATGGGTGAACTTAGACTATGATAGGCCAACTGGATTTCTAGTGCTGCGCTGCGTGGGTCTGTGTTGCTCTCCCAAGCTCTTAACTGGTGCTGATCTTTCAGAAACCTTTTTTAAACTAATTCCTGCTCCTGGAGGTCTGACGCAATACTTGTTTGCTCCTTTGCTTTCATTGTCATGCTTCGCTTTCCATTATAAAAGGGACCGTTTGTTGTGTGCGTGAGATTTATAGCAGTGGGGATTTGAACGTGGCGTCATCTGATATCCTTGATTTATGGGGAGCAGCAAAAACTTAAACAATTTTGCTGCGCATACAGATGAAGCAAGAGTGGCTCTGCCAGATAATTTTTTTCTGTTGAATATGTTCCTATGGCCTACAAAAAGGGAAGAAATGTCTGTGATGTGTAATCAGTTTGGCGCGCAGGAGATAATCAGTTGTCTTATGCTGACAAGTGGGTACAAAATGCAACTTTTTATGCAGTTTCTTCTAGAGAAACTGAAAATAATTTTTTCTTGTTTACTAAGAGCTAACTACCAAATTAATCCGCTATATTGTGCTGTCCAAGACTGAAATCAGGAGACCTGAGACGACTTGGTAATGCTTCGTGGCCCGGTACACGCAGATGCATGCCTGCACGTGAAGCACACTGAAAAATACAAGTTGCAAAACAAAAGACGTAAGCATGGGAAGAATTCGTGTAGGAGCTGGATGTGCTTTCTTCCTGGTCTTCTGCATTTTACTGCTAAACTCTCTCCTTATTCACGGACTTCTGTGTTATGGGATCAGTTAGGAAGATGGTCTGCTTTGTATCAGGTGCTTGCAACTTGTTTGCAAGCTGCTGACTATAATAGCTAGCGAGTAGTTAATACCTGATGGTATGTTCCAGACACCCAGGTGTTGCACAGTATGCACATTGAATAGGTTAAACTTGAGCAGTGTGCTTCCAAATGTGTTTCCTAGTCTCCTTATTAGACTCTTTTGTCCTTCAGCATTTTCATTATGACAGTGCTCTCCACAATAACTTTTTTTTCTGCAGGTGAGCAGGTTAAAAAAAAAAAAAAAAGAAGACAATCTATTAAGAGACAAGACAATTGAATTTATGGTTTTTTAAATCCTCTACTTATAAAGTGTGAAAGAGGTCAAATATATGCTCTAGAACTAGAGTATTGGAAAAAGGGTTATAACGAATCCTACATTTGCCAGACAATAATTTTGTTTTGAGGGTGTTTTTTAGTCAGAAAGCTGTGCAGAATTCTCTCTGCTACTACATAATGTACATACCTGTAATTAAAAACAGGGATTCAGCAAACCATAATTTCTAATAATATTTTAATGTCTTCTGCACGTTAGTATGTCTGTTTGAATACAACATAATCGACATGAATTAATTCTTCCCGCTTGTGAGGTAGATGGCGTTGCCTTTCTAAGAGGTGAATAGTGGTGCAGCTTTGTTGCCTAATCTAGCTGGGCAACCATAACATTGGAGATAATAGCGCTCTTTTGTTTTAACTGCTAGTCACATTTCTAGGGGAAAAGAAAGACAGTTGGTGTAGTTGTCATCTGTAGAGTCCCAAGATACTCAGGGGAAGATCTGAATTTGTTTTCAGGAACAGAATGCGTTCTATATAAAAAGTCTTCCATTGTGAATCTCTATGAAAAAGGATTTTTTTTTTTTCAGTTTTCTTGTGTTTGAAGTTGAAGAGGGGTTGTATGACTGTGAGCATATGCACAGTCTGCTGCTGAGGTGACCTGTAATGCACGGTCAGGAGCTCCTATCACAGTATAGGCCTTTTCTTGTAAGAGTGAAGAGAAGCGTCCTGCAACTGAGAAAAATGGTTTTTGAGAGGGATTGTCCATACTTCTCTATCAGATAAAGGTTTGTTTTATCAGCAGGTAAACCTTTTAGGAGATGTTGGCCCCAGCACATTCCTTGGTGTGCTCTGTGTGGCACTGTTTTACCTAGATACAGCATTAGTGAAACTGGGAGTTGCCTTAATGTGCCTGGAGAGAACAAAGATTCCCTGCTTTGTGGTAGGCTGAACATACCAGTTTATGCAATTTTATTTTGTTTTATTTTTTTCTGTCACACAGGATCACTCACTCCTTTCTTCATTAAAATTCTTACTAGGAATTCATGTCTTGCACTCTGAAGGGGAAGGATGACCTTGCACTAGATGCTTTTCTGCATCTTTAGTGGGGAAGCAGTGGTTTATAGGTTCCTTTGAGATCCAGGAATGGAATAGTATAACCACCTGCACCATGTGCAGGACTTGGCATACTGCGAGAATTAAGTATTCTCCTTGATAAAATCTAAAGGAAGAGCTTTAAAGAACGTGTCATATTCAGACCTTAAAAAAAAAACAAGTCTTCTCATACCTCATTAGTCAGTAATGTAGTTTTGTTTCTTGTCTCCCTCTTGCTTATTCTTCAAGCATCTGAATAAAACCAGAGTGTCTCCCAGTTTGAATTGGTCTTTCTCTGCTTTCAATATCCCCCTGTTTCATTTGGCACATTTTTATATGGCTTTAACTGTTTTCCTTTGGTTCATTTTGTTTTGATCTGTGATTCTTTATTTCCCATGCTGTTTTATCTCCTGTTTAGCACTTTACAGCGGATTTCTAATTATCATAACCAACAGAAACTAACAGGATGTGGTTTTACAAAGGTTTGTAATCCTCCATTTCATACAATTACAAAAGTACAAAATACTTTCGTTAAACAGTTTACATCAAATGCAAGTTTTTTTACATGCAAATGTTGCAAACAGATGATGTTTCCTACCATGGGAAAAATGCTAGTTTTTAGCTTGAAGTCTGAGTAATCTACTGTGGTCAGCCTATACATACATAACCTCTAAGAGTTTATGCCAGAGACTGATTTGGAGATAAGTTTTTTTGACCTGAGTGGAAGGGTAGCCTTCATTATTATACTCCATGTTGTGTAATAAAAGGCTGCAAAGCTACCGTTTCCAGGACCAAAACAGCTATATCCAAAGCTGTGCCGCATAAAATCAGCTTGCAGATTATTTTTATAAACAAGATGCTATAGCTCAAAAGGCTTTTGAACAAAAGGCAAGAGGCATGAAAAACTGAGTAACTGTTTAAAGGATAATTAAATGTAGTTACAATGCACGTCCTAAAATCAGTGTCATGGCAAGATCAACAGTTGTTGATTCGGAACTGTTTTTAGGTATAGTGTTGTCTCACAGAAAAATTGCATGCTTTCTTATGACGTTAGTCAAGGAGCTCTATTAAAAAGACAATCGACATTGATCTTTGAGAGTGCACGCTCTCTCAGCTGTAAGGGCCTTATCTCGTGTCCTTAACCCAGCTTAATATTTCAGGTCTCTGGAGAACAACCTTTGTTTTTCCAGCCTTTGTTTGCTAAGATTGGCACTAAGTGTGTAAGAATGGTATCGTGTGGATTCATATATGAACCTTGGTGCTGGATACAACCACTTTGGAGTGGGCTCTCCCAAAGTCTGAAGCCAAAAGAACTGAACTGTATCCAGTTCTTGCAGGCAGAAATGAGCCACCTGTATTTGCACTGCTGCATGTCCTCAGAATCAGTCCGGATATATATCATATGCAATGATATAAGCATATGCACAATTCTACAGCATAAATTGGGTGTGCGTGCGTGCATTTATTTTACTAAAATTCTTGTAATCTGCCTTCAGCATTGTAAAATATATTGAAACCATAGACAGACTGTTCTCCAGTTGTTACAATATGCATAGTAATTATGTGCAAAAATAGACCGATTATGCTCAATCCAGTGAGCCTACAAGCTGTTCTTTGCCGGTTTTTCTTAACTATTGTTCCATATGCTGCTTGGCTAACCTTCCTTTGTTTCTTCTTGTAATACCTACTTTTATTCAATTTCACAAAATAAACGGAATGTTACTTGCTTTGCTGCAGGTAGTTTTAAGCAGAAAATAAAATGGAATGGTGCTGAGTTTTCTAGTATTTTCT